TTTACTTGGATCTGTAAGTATTTACACTTAGTGTGTGTGTGTGTGTGTGTGTGTGTGTGTGTGTGTGTATTTCTTTTTCTTTTTTTTGACAGTGAGGATTGAAACTAGGGTCTCACACATGCTAGGCAACTGCTCTACCACTGAGCCATATCCTCAGCCCCACTTAGTCTGATTTTTATACTGAAGTACAGTGTGTTATACTTCTGTGATCCTCAAACATATATATATTCCAATTCTGTTTTCCATACATTTGTTGATTCCATGACCAAGAAAAAATAGAACTCAAAATTTTCCTTCTGGCATTAATTACATTCATGAAAGATCAAATGCTGCTATTTGCATCCAGTCTTCCTACATACCATAGAAATGAAATTCATGTGGGCTTTATTATGAAATTATATAGGTAAATTGCTATAATGAAGGGTTGCATGTGCTATATAACAATAACATAAGACTTGGCAAAATTTTCGAAATGTGGCATGTTGTTTACTTTCCTTAAAATCCAAAAAAATAAAAAATAAAAAAGAACGTATGTTGCCAGGCATAAAATTAGACAGGCATGACATTTTCAAATGTGTGACTTATTTAGCACCTCTCAAATGTGAATGCAGAGTGGGTGGAGCGACAAATAGACAAATACAATTTTCCAAGAAAAAATGTGTGGGCAAGTTCCAATCCATTCAGTCTGCTTTAGATGGAGGAAATTTATTACTGAGAAGAATTAGTTCTTCAACTTGAACAAATAATAGAAAGAACACCATTTATCATCTAAATTAGACCTTCAAATGTACTTGGGAGTTTATTAAAAAGTTCAAAAGTATGAAATAAATATTCAATAGGTAGAGGTGTACAGACCAGATTGCATCTGGAAAGTGCTTTTAAAAATCATATATAAGACAGCTGTTTGGATCAGAAAAAGCACTGGCATGTTAGACCCACAGAAGAGCCTTCCATATGTAATATAAAGGGTTTCTCTAGTCATGATCTGGTAGCTGAGGTGCGAAATCCTACATCAGACCACTGGGTGTAGCCTGAGCATTACACAAAAAAACTGGTGTCAAAGGTGGACATAAAGAATCACACTTGTCTAATCTGTTGTGTGTAAGCCCCAAGGATTAAGGGAGATAGAACTAGATCTTAGTTGGAATGATTTCTTTTGGACCCATTTCCAAAGTAGGGATTAGTTTTCAATTTTTTTCTTTATTAAGAAGACAAAAACCCTTTCATTCATGATGGCACTAGTATTAGCAACAATGATAACAACCGGTTTCTTCTATGTATTGCTTGTTTACTGATCCTAAATTTGTTGCATGG